TAACAAGACAGCAGACATCACTCCCTAGTGGGTCACTGCAGCAGCTTTGCTCCATTCTGTTGCCTTTTTCACACTTTTGTGGTAGCTCAGATCACTGCTCTTACCTAGCGGTGCTAGAATAACCTAAGGAGGGCAGTCACATTACAGAGACAGTCCTGTCTTATGTCTGCAGTCAACCAAAGCTGTAGAGACTGAAACCAGTTGTTTTACTGAACTTCAGAAATCTTAAGAATGGAAAACTTAAGGAATAAACCTGATAATCAGGCAAGAAAAAAGAAAAATGCAAAATCTGTCAGATTGCTGAAAGTCACGCTCTCACAAGACATGGTATTTCACAAAGATAGACAGACCTGTTTGATGACTCCTAAGCTGAAAAAAGACTTTTTGTTGACAAATTAAATGGAAAATATTAGTTTTGGATTTGTTGTTGGGTTTTTTGGTTTTTTGTTTGGTTTTTTTTTTATCTGGCCTAATGGAATAACAGGCTAAGTGGCCTAAAAGTCACAGAAAAGTTATAAAAAAACCCCACCAAAACAACAAAACATTACACACTTTTGTCATTTCTGCTTCACAGAACCTTTTTATATTTCTGTAGGTCCAGAATAGTCAGCTGTTTGTTTCCATAAACAGCCTAGCTAAGTAGCAGATGTTTCCTTGGGCAGTTATTCAATATATCTAGAAAAAAAAAAATCTCTTTGCCTTCCAGGCTTCTGACAGCTTTGTTTCCAGCTCCTGACTTCTTTTCCCTGCTGAAATGCTCAACCTTTATAGCAGGCCTGCACAACAGGTGGGCCGTGGGTCTCTTGCAGCTTGAAAAACCATTTGTTTGGCCAATCAGCTGCTGAGAAGCATCATGTACTGTTTGATTTGCCCAGCTGCCAAGAGGCAGCAACAAGATGTCCAGCAGAAAATGCGTATCTCCTAGCTTGTCACTGATCCCTCAGAATGCATGTATCTCCTAGTCAGCCACCTGGTCAACCAGCAGACACATAGCTCCAGATCATACGCACACATTGCCTCACAGGTCAAAGAAATAGCATAATAATAAAATTTGTGATATTCAGAATTAATATTTGGCAGGGGGGAGGTTGAAACAGAGGTGGAAGGAAAATGGGAAAGTAACAATACAAGGGAAGCTGAAACAGTGTTGAAATGGATCAGCAGAGAAGAAGGACTGTCACATGGGGAAGTGAAAATGTATTTTCATTCTGAAAATGACCTGATAAACCCATTTGAGAATCCTGACTCTATACTTAACTGCAAGCATCTTTCTGCTAGAAGTTCCATGCAATAATAAATGAGTAACAACAAATCCATAGTACTTACTAAGCAGCAATAGAAACGTAATAACTGATGAGCAAGTGTCAGTTGAATCAAAATACAGAATTTACAAGTTTTTATACATATATATACATTTACCATTTCTAAGAAGTTTTAATGAGAAAAAAGGCAAGAAAGAACTTGGTAAAATGTATAAAGAATTGGGTGTTTTTCTTTTCTTGGTTTTAATCAATTAATACTGTAGAGTATATATGACTATCAGTTTGCATAGCATTATACAGATAGATGACCTCGTCTTTGAGGAGCTGTGGGAGCAAATGGAATTGCTTTTGATTAAGAGGAAGGGGGACACAGATAGGAACAGACAGAAATGCAAATACAGGAGATAGAAGCTCTGGGAGAAAGATGCAATTATTGAAGGGACTCTATAGAAGGATAATGGATAAAAGAAATGGACTTGATGCTGGTCATCACAATCAATATCATGAGCAAAATAAATGAAGGAAAGACTAACGAAAATAAATTTTAGTTAAATGTGCTGTGAAGAGAACTGATGTCCCCAGAAAAGAAATAGATGTCCTGTCATTTGAGGACATTGAAAACTATTTTTAAATATCATTAGTTAATTTGAGAGTAGCCTTGCACTGGAAATGTATCCTATGTATGATTAGCAGCCAACAGTAATCTTCTCTAAGTCTAAAAACATAAACTCACACAGAACTTAAGATTTAGAAAAATTAGGACAAGAAATCTGGTGCAGTTGGAATTGGAAATAAAGACAGAAAATGTTACTAGGGGAAGTGACTGAGACTTGTTAAACACAGCCAGAAACACAGAAAGCAGGTCTCTGGAAGACAGTGTGGAAGGGAGCTAGTAAGAAATGGTTGGCTGACAGTAACTCAGCCTGAAGTTGGGGGACTGAGTGATTTGGACTAACTAGACAAGAACACGACCCAGTAGTTGAGAACAGAAGGAAAGATGGGGGACAAAACACAGGGCATGAAAGTCAGGTAAAGTCATCTGAAGTCTCTTAAGAGGGAAAAATCTTGACAAGTAACTGGATATGCAGAATATGGATAGAGTATAATAAGCCGGTATCTGGAGACATCTGGATCTTGATTAACAAGGATATTAGGTATAAGAAGTTAAAATTAGAGGCTGGAATTATGACTGGATATAAATAGAAACTTGTATTGAAAAGTGAGACAAAAAAGAGGCAAGAAAGATATTGTAAAATTTGGAAATGGATATTAGGACTGATACAAAGCTGATGGAATGAGGCAGAAACAAGAACAAGAAAGGTTGATGGAGATACTGTTAAGAGTAATGCAGGTTGCAGGAAAAATGAAAGGAAGATTCTGCGCCCAACAGCATGAAATGTGTCCCAAGATTGTCTTTATTTATCTCAACAAGTATCTGTAAAAGTCCCATGGCAAAATGGTCATTCCTTAGACCATGCTGCTCATAATAAGGCATTAGAGTTTATCAGTTACTTTGTTAGATTTATCACTGTGAATCTAAAGATTCACGTCCATAAGGTTTTCAGATGTCATCTCACAGTGAAAATTCTGACTTTGTAGTTTACTTGTTAAAAAGAAAACTCTAAGGGATGGTTATCTAGGACATTACTTAAATGGTGAAGCAAAACACTCAACTGTTAGGAAATGCCAAAATTAAGATTTAACATATGAAAGAAATTGAGATAATCATTCACACCTCTTCTGTAAAGCATGATGTCTAATGATGAAAGTATTATATATAAACCAGGTATTATATAAAGCATGAGAACACACATTGAGCACTGAAGATAAAGAAAATATTGGATAGATATCCATTTATTCAACTACATCCTCGTCCCCTGCACTGAATGAGACAGGGTACTGTGAAAAATACAGTATCTAATCATATAATTAAAGATTATATCATGATGCATACACAAAGACGGTTGAACAAAGGTGTGGAAGACAACCTTAATTCTACCATTTCCTAATTTTGGAATGCTTGACTTTACAGCCTTGATAATGGCCTTTTCCAATAAAGTTTTTGATCTCATAAGAAATATCATCACACATTTCCACATGCTTTTGTCCAAGATGTATACATCAGAAACGGAACCGTGTGCACAAGCTTCACAAAACCACCAAAAGTTCCTTTTCAGTGTGGAAGTCCTTCAGATAGCTATCTTTCAAACACAAATAGAGCAAGAAAGAATCAAGGACTATCGTTTGCTGGGAATATTACACTGATTTTGCTTGTTGAAAACTAGATTAAACAAGATTCAAACCAACACAGAAAACAATTTAGGTTAGGTTTTCAAGCAAATGACTGAAGCTGTATCAGAGCAATTTTTATTAATGTGGAGGGCAGCTGCAGGGCAGCTTTCCCCTAGTACTTAGGCAGCAAAATGCACACACTAGGTTCTTGGTATGGGCAAAATTAAATCATAATTTCTTTCTCTCTTTTCCTCAGTAGTCTTCAAAGGCCTTACAAGTAATTTCATATAGGACTATGCAGTCAGAGTGCTGTTTTGCAGTTGCTTTCTTTACCTATTCCTGGATCTGCTCAACTTCTCCGTTTCCTGCCTTGTCCTTTCTGAGAGGGAAAAAGACAGATGGCTCTGGAAGCTTTTATGTGCATGGTAGCTGAGTGGCTCTTTTTCTTACATCAGGAAAGCACAGTCTGAAGCCACTTAGCATTACACTTAACTGCACTATTTAATATGAGCCTTCAGAAGAGGCTGAGAACTAGAAAAAGGCAAAAAAAACCCAGTTGGTGGGGAAGAGCCTAGAAAGCATAAGTTTGTTTTGCTAAGGGACAGGAAGAATAAGATAACAGACTTATTTGGAGAAAGGCTGATAATGTGCTAGAAGGAAAAAAATATTTACAGCAGAATAAGGAATTGAGGTATGAAATTTTGATTGACAGACAAAAGGAACAAAATTTGTGCTAGAGGAGAATGTGTAGTTAAGGAAAAATTGACTGAAAGAGTGGAGTACCAGAGGAAAACTTTGAGGACAGGCGAAGTGCAAAGAGTCTCTTGGAACACATTCTGGGGGAAAAAAAAAGATAGGCTTGAGAATTCCTGGGAACTGAAGAGGGTGAGAAGACTGTTAGCAGAAAATGATGGAGCTGGTTTCAGAAGCAGCTGGAATGATGACATGTAGGAGTTGGAAATTAATTGGAAGAAAGTAGAAAAGGTACAGGCTGAGGCAATTGCTAGAAAATAGGAAAGAAATGGAGAAGACAAACAAAATAGCAGCCTGAGAGAGAGAGAATTTGTTTAAGCTTCCTGTTCTTACCAGGATAGCTTTGAGAGAAAGGCACAAACCAATTTGGGAGTGATTTGGGAAAAGGAAGACATGACAGGGACACCATATAAAAAGAGTGGTCTATGGGGAAGACAGTGCAGAAGTGGAATATTTTTAGAGGAGTTTAGATAATCCGTAAAGGGAGCAGTGTTTAAACGGAATGAAGATGAATGTACAGGACTTGGGAGGGAAACTACTGGGAGACAGAAAACTGGGAATGTGGGATTTATATAGGAAAAGAAAAATTAATAATGTAGGCAGACAAATATATGGCAAGTAACCAGATGGGGAAGAAAAAGTCAAAGGAAATAAGAAAGTAAGAGCGGCAGTAAATGTCATTGTTCTAGTGCTTAGTAAGAGGTCTGTTAACAAAACAGTATATAAAAGTCAAACATTATCTTTGTATGGTACCTTTTTGTGTGGGATGAGGGGGTCTTGGGAAACCGGATTGGGAGCTAGGCATAGGCATCTAGTGAACCTACAATATGTATGGAGAAGAGGATAATCTGCTTTATTATTATTTTAAACAGAAGCAAGAAAGAAAACATTTAAAACCAGTGTCTACACCAGTTCCTAATAGCATAGTATATGTTTGTATCTGTTAGAAAATATGAGACCCGTAATTGGGTTATTTATTATGATTATTTGTTAGCGTTTTATGGATATTTAGGCAAACTGTTATCCACTCAGTATTTAAAAAAACCCAAACCCAGGCCTAAAATATCCTATATTGCTTCTTTTTATAATGTCATATTCAAATCTCTTTTTATTATCTCTCCCATTTTACAAAAGAGTTTACATGAACTAAAAGTAAATCTGATGAGTGCTACATGATGCAAAATAGAACAGAACATAGACCCCTTATTGACAAATGCAATTATCTTTTAAATTAGTCCTATTCCTGACTCATACAAGTGATAGCTGAAATATCAACATTAAATATAACTTCAAGTTGACAAGTATCCTTTTATTTAAATAAATAGTAGATAAAATTTTATTTTTAATTGTTACTTCCCTGTGCAGTATTTTCTTAAATGCTGAAATTTCACTTGTTATTTCAATTATTTCACTTCCCCACAGAATGCTTCAGCTTTCCTGCTTTTGTTTGCTTAGGTATAGAACTCCATAGCATGCTTAATACAGCAAGTTGAAAAAAAATTAAGGATTGTGGATAAAGAGACTATTACGCTAGACATGCTTTGATACTGAGATAGAGATATATTTTTGAGAGGAATAAGAAAGGCGTAAGTATTTCCCTAGTAATTATTTTTTCCAGAACCTGAAACATGAACAAGATAGTATTCTACTATTTATTATGGAATATATTGTATATTATATATAATGATTCTTCTATAGTGTATACTAGAGTATGCAAAATAACATTTACAGATAAAAGGTAAGGACATAATTGAAATTTTGCAAAATTGGAAAGATATGGTCTTTGTTGCCCCAATGAAAATTCAAAAAACTGATGGAAAAATCACAGTTTCACCCATTGGAAAGCTTTTTTAGGGTTTTGCAGCTAAATTCTCCAAGAAGCCCACCTGTATTGAGCATGCTTTATCCCAGAGCTGCAGCAATGAAGCAGTTCTTTCCCTGCAATTCTCTCTCCTCATTCCTGCGATCAACTGCCATGCTAAACATTGAGATAACAACAGAGAAACTGCCTTTGCTTTTCTCTCAATGCATGTCTCCCTGACATCCAGACAGATGCAGAAGAAGAAACAGAATGTGTACTGAAAGCAGTAGGGAACATGAGCTTGATGGGGAGGCAAGGGGAAGCAGAGAATACAGGCAGAGATGTGGTACCAAACAGGAAAGGCTGGTAACGGGGAATGCCAATGCAGCATGGACTCTCGAAACAGCTGGCCAAGAGGAGGAGGAGGAAACGGGAAGGGTCAGTCAGAGACAGGGGGCTGGGGGTCACTGGGAATAGACAGAGCTTGCAATTAAAGAAATAACCAGGGAGACATGAAACTGAGTTCAGAAAGAACACTGGGAGAACGTGAAGTCAGGAAAAAAGAAACACAATGTAATGTAGAGCCAGGAAAGAGTAAAAAAAAAAACTGCAGTGAGGAGGAAGAAACTAGGAGGAACTGGGACACAGAGATACAGGAGTAAGAGGGATATGTGCTAAGGTGCTAAGGGGGACAGAGAGAAAAGCGAGCTTATGGTGAAAGGGAATCCTCCTTCCGATATTGGAAGTGAACACAAAGATCCCTGACACTTAGCATTACTTGTCTGCTACTAACTATTTCTTGAACTATTTCTGAAACCTGTCAGCCTGTAATAGCTGATCCACAATGACAATAAGCTACAGTTACATTTGTGTTCTAGGGTTACATACTGTGGTAGATCTAAAAGTTCTGAACTGTTCTATGACAATTAAGCTGAATACATTAAGCGATAAGAAATTGCAACTCTATGTCTTGCTTCTTTTTTCCTTTTCCTTAAAAAAAACCCCTATTTTAATTATATGTTAAGACTGCAAAGTAGAGACAGGAAATGTCAGAATTAAGGTTGCCTTAGCAATGTGATCCAATATCACGATCAGAATATATTATGGTCCAGTCTTTAATTAAATAATCATCTGTGGGTTGTGGTTTTTTTTTCCTTACACCACCTTGGACAGATAAATCTAAGAAAGGTCATCATTACTGAGAAAGCTGCTTGTAAGTCCTTGATTTCATTTGTTGTGGAAATGGAAATGTAAGAAATGAGCATAAGTAGGCAGAGGATAGCTGGAAAAGAATGGATAATAATGGTTAAAAAGCTGAAGTGCTGTTCCTATGTAGTTTGGCATAAGTCCTTTAGAATACATACTTCCAAAATACTCAGTAATTATGTGTTGCTTATTTCATAAATATCCAGCTTGGTATCCCAGCCCATAAATGAAACTGAATTCAACAGGAACAGTGATTTTAAATACACTGAATACATTTGCCAAAAATGCAAATTATCCTGAAAAAATAGGTCCTAGCTACTCAAAAGTTAAGCAGTTTGTCACTTTAATCTTTCTGTGACTCTATTTCCCAGCTTTCAAATGGGAATACTCCAAACTTCACTTACTGAAGATAAAGTAATGTTTGCAAAGAGCTCAGTTACTGCAGTGACTAGCATAATAGAATGGCCTCCCAAGAAATTAGAAGTCTGTCTTTGCACCAAACAAAATAACAAAATGACTGGATTATAACAAAGTGACATAGTGACTGGATTCTTACTAAATGAATTACGTCAAATGGTGCTTTGAATAAGGCACACATTTTATAGGAAGGAAAGTAGGATTCTGGAATAATAAACCTCATAACGTGTACCCGCTTTCCAGGCAACATTTAATCTGGCATACTCCAAGTGCTGAGTTATTGACTTTGCAGACATAACTTGCTTTAAATCTAAATGTTTTTGTTTATATACGTGTGTTTGGCCTACATCAGAAATTATTGCCTCTTTTGTATTTGTTTATATGCCCAATACATTAAAAGCTTGTTGACTTTTTATTCTGTTGTTACAGCCTCCTTGTGGCACATGAGTAACAACTATTTAGGAGTTAGAAAAAGTGATTAAATAACACACAGAAGATGTCAAATGATACTGTTAAGATGATTGACTTCAAAATGCAAAATAAAGGCAATTGAGAGCGATTACTGGAGCTAATCATTTTAGGCTTGCCTCTGAAAAATGCACCTTCATTTACAATTGAAAACAAATGCTATTTTTACTGTTTAGTATTCATGTAGGTAGATTTAGCCTGTTGACTAGAGAAGGCATTATAACATAAATATTACCTTAAAAATTTGCTCTTTACTAATATCTTGATGTTTGCAATATATATATACATTTAGATTCACAAGGGAAGTAGTATGACTCTCTTTAGTATTTCATGTATAAATTTACTCGGCAGATTTGGTTTTTTTAAATGTAAATAATGGGATACAGTAAATGAAAAATCCAAGAAGGGAATAAACAGATTATTTATCGTTAATGCTCAGAGTAGCTTATTGAAACATACCTTTCAGTAACTGCCATTGAATATTAGCTATGAAATTCTCATCATGCCTTGAATGTTACCCATTAGATTTAGCCATTTGTACAGTTAAAAGGCTCAAAATGTTTCAAATATGCCTTTAAAAACATGGTTATCTCAAATCTAACTATACATATTCACAAAAACTGCATTCAGCATGTCTGAGATTGAAATTAATTATTCTTCTTTAATTGCTCTGTATAAACAGAAATGACCTATTAATTTAAAGAAAATCTATCAGCACAGAATGTATGCTCTCTTATAAACAAGCAAGATGAACTTGACCTTGTTTGAACTTGTTTTGATGTGGCCCAGATGGTAGGCTACATGCTTGAATAGCAGTCTAAAGCTGAGGAAAAACTCATATAGCAAGATCTAGATTTATAGCCTTTTGCAAATTCCTACCTTGTATTGTCCTTTCAGCATCTGTTCTGCCCCCGCTGCGGTCAGCTTCTATCTCTGGGGTCAGAGAGTCTAGAAACATAGAAAGGTAAGACTGACACATATTTCATTTGATTCTTATAGCCCTTTTTACAACCTGTTACTCCAATGCTGAATTACAATACAATCAACCTTTGTCAGTTTTTTTAATGTTGAACAATGACTGGAGGCCAGGACAATTTTTTTGTTAGACTAGGAAGATTAATGAGCAATAGATTTTTCAAGCATAAAGGGGGGGAGAAAATGAGGAAGAAAAAAAATTGACTTCTCAAGCTAATAATATAAAATTGTCCTAGTTTGGACATTCTCTCCAGTGAGTTTATTTGCACATACTATATAAAGTAACAAAACAATAAAGAGAGAGGCATCACTTGAACGAAGGAAAGAAAAGAGATTTTTTTTTTCCTTCCCATCATGTTACAAATTTTCAATATAACAAGCTGCTTTTGACACTTAAATTGAAAGTTAATGGCACAGAGGCAAAAACTGGTTTCTTACCATTTAGGACCCTGAGACTATCTGTTGAAGCTGCTTGTTTCAGTGTCTGTTCTGCTTGCTCCCGTCGCTTAGTCTCAAATTCAAGTGCTTCCTGCAATTTCCTCTTTGCCTTCTTTTCCTTCTTTAGCCTTTTCTGGATTATTGCTAGGAAAAAAGAAAACCAGTGTACTTGAATTTGGATCTGAAACTTGGCTACACGATTACCTATTAAGGGTCCCAAGAAATGCTACAACTACAACAGTTCATAGAAATTGATAAATTATACAACACCAATTTAAATGACTTGAAATTTGCTGGAATCACTCTGGGATAGTCTAAGAGCTACTGTTTTGTACCATGGTATTAAAAACTGAAGGGGATATTCAGCTATAGCATGTATTTTTTTTATAAACCACTGAGAATCTGTGAATGTCCCAATCGGAAAACCTCAGAACTGGTAATGAAATGTACTTTTTGCGTCATCTGACATAGATATGCCTCTGCCTCTGGAGGTGAGGTGTTTTTTCAGGATTAAGTCCACTATTTTGTTATTGTCCATAGCACACAGAGAGTGTACACATAGCGATGAAGTCCTGGCCTACCTGCCTGCAGCTTCTCTCACACAAGAGGGAGCTCTGGCTGCTTGGGTGCCCGGGATGCTGGAGGAGCTCAGCCCCCACCCTGCTGTGGTCCTCATTCCTTAGGGAAAGGCCCTGAGCTTTCCACCTCCCCACCAAGCTTCTGCTTCCTGCAAACCATCTGACCTCTTGGTGCCCGGTCTCTTCCCATATTTATTTCTTATACACATGTCCCTTTGTCTTTCCCTTTTCTCTTCCTTGCTCTCTGTCGGCTCCTGTCTCATCAGCCAGCTCACCTTGAAGAACTCATAGCAAATTCTTTATGGTGCTGGATCCCCCAGTCAAGTAAACATGACTTTGCTCTGTCAAATGTGTGGGAAAATAGTAGGAAAGAAAGGAGTATTTTAAAATTAAGCATCAGAAGGCCCTGATTTAGAAAAATGTTTTCCTTGTATCTCTTCAGCTCATATTTTACAAGGAAAAGGATCACAAGATCAGAATGAAACTTCATCACATTTTTCTTTCCTGTGTTACCAGTGACTTACAACCACAAAATTAAGACTTGCATGATCCCTAACTGAAGGAACCTATCACAGGTTATGTTCCTGATGGAAAAGGATAATGTGAACCAAATTTTATACTCAATAAAAGCCAAAGTGAGCCTCTAAAGAAATCAAAGTCGTAGAGCATATCATTACCTCCCCCACCATGCCCCAACCCTTCTTACATAGCACATTTAGGGTTTTCAGAGATATGCAGGTAAAAAGCTTATGTCTCATAAGACCTTCTTGGATAAGCCTTCTCCTGGAGATTCTGTTATTTTGACACTAACTAAAAAAAAAAAATCTACTAAACTACTCACTAAAGAATTCTTTGCACACACTAAAAGAATTATCCTTACCAAAACCAGATTCTAGGTAATACCAAGTTTGACTGCCAAGATCTATCTAGCCCTGTATCTCACTCCAAAGTAACCTCTGGTACATGCCTAGGGATGAAAGCTGGAAATGGTAAAAAAATTCTTCCACCAGTTCACTCTCTCCATTTCCAGTAGTCTGTGATGGTGGTTTCTTTCACAAAATGGAAATAATGAAACTTTTAAAGGAAACTATCATGTGTTATTACTATTTAATTTATATGCTAAGAATAACCACTTTTTGGGTGATCTTGGATATTTTGTGTTGCTACACAGAACTGTTCAGACAAAAAATGAAAATAAGCACATACCCTGTAGTCAGAATCGCTACATAATTTACATCCAAGACTTTGGAATTTTGGTTCTTTCTCATTTTGTATAGTACCAACCACTTTACAGGCTAATTAGCTTATACTATCAAAGAACATCTAGTATCTATACAAAGGCTAAACTAAATACATTTTGAATCATTGCACGGTTTTAATGTTTTCATTATGAGTACTTTGAAAGTGATTGCAATAAATGAGAAGGAAACATATGTTGCTTTCTGAATTAAAATGTCATCATGGCTGACACATTGTAGATGTGACTACAGCAGTCAGAGCCAGAATTAGCAAGCCCTTACTGTGTAGCTGCTCACAGAAGAGATATTATCCTACTTTCACCAGTTGATGAGACACATCCTACAGCCTTAGGAATCACTAATTGGAATATTTACAAAGAAGGAAGGAAACAGTATAGTAAGTAAGCAGCTCTGTAGAACATACAGTAGCAGCAGTGAATTTACTGTTCAAAAAAAAAATGGCAAAAATATTCAGATGTAGCCACTAAGGAAAAAGGAATTTCACTTGTGTTAACATGTTGAGCAAAAAATAGATGTTGCCTAATGCTGAAGATCCCATTCACCTAATGGGTTTTGACCTGTATGTGACACAGTGACTTGTGTTTCTATGCTGTAGCTTTTAAGTGTATTTCAGTTTTTTCATATTGTATCTCTTAACTTAACAGGGATATGGTACACTTCTCCCATCTTGCTCATGCTTCCCTTAAGACATGTGAAACTTTCTTTAAGACATGACGCTTGCTATCTGGAAAACTAATAGTATGTAAAGCCTCCTATGTATTTTTCTACATTTAGTTGAAGAATAAATTCTCACAATAATTACAATCTGGTCTTATTTTTTCTCTCCTATTTGGATCTGTTCATTTTAAAAAATAATCCATTACTTTTCTTTCTTTTTTACAGAAGTATCCACTAGCAGAGATAGTCACCCTCATTATATTTGTTTTGCTGCATACCACCATTAAGTGTTCAAATCCATTCGTCTCTGGTCTGACTCTTTTACCAGTACAATATCATCATTAGAGGGATACATACAAAAAAGCACGCAATGCATCATGCTGGAAATAACATTGTCAATTATTTCAGTATCCTGAACAAAATAAAGGACTATCCCATGGTCTTTCCTGTCACACAACTTTGAGCAAAATTCATTTTGCTTAATTTTAACTGCTCAAAACATGTGTCTAGTCGAGCCTAGTGAACAATATTCCCTCTGGAGTTAAATGGAAGAGAAAGAAGTCTTCACATTGTAATTGTTCCCACCTACCTGTCTGAAAACAGGATATACAAATCTCTTTATTGACCAGAAAGGGAACTTATGTTAACTTAAATGAGGTGCTTAACTTCTAGATGGCAAAACACAAACAAGGTCAGATGGGTCCCTCCCAACCTTTTCTATTGTGGATGTGATTGCTTAAGTCTAAAAAGAATACATATTTGAGCAGTTGTGAGACACAGAGATAGAAGGATGTGAAGAATAACCAAGCTCTTTTACAAAACTACTTTTAAAGTGTAAGTAGTGCAATTGTACTGAGCAAAATAGGCCAGTTGTGGACAAAGGGATGAATCATTGCACAGCTGTGATAATTTTTAATAGCAATTGTCTTTAAAAATGCATTCTCAAAAGTAAAAAAAGAGAAATCAATGATGTGACAGTCCTAGCCTTTAATGGGTCAAGGCATGAAACAGGATTACATTGTGTACTTACTGCTAGCATGTTAGTTAAAGGTATAATGATACTGGTTGTGAATCCAAGTGTTCTTGGGATTCCCTATTTAACTGGTTCCCAGAAAATTAAACTGGACAAGAAGAGAGTTATAGCTCTAGCCCTGCAAAAATACATATCTGACTTGCCATGTTCTGTGTTAAACAGCAAGTGAGCCCCAGAGGTGAACTGTCCCTTGCAAAGTAATTAGACATCATCAAAGGGCAAGACGTACATATACAGAAAAATGGACCTATAAAGAAAGATGGGAACGTGCTTGCAATGCAAATAGTTAATGCAAATCACTATAAACTGCCTTACCTTTACTATCAATGAAATTGTTGAAGAATCTTTAACATGTATGTGCTTTACAGTGGGCTGATGTTCATGTTTGAAATGCAATTAATTATCAAGAAGAACCTTAACTGTTCCTTCTATAAACACATTTGATCTACTATGCACTATAAGGGGCTTATGTATGACTATTATCTTTATATTTATTGCATACAGTTTGCCTAAATAGGCAATATATGACCCTAGAACATAACAGTTCCTAAAACCTCGCAGATTCTTAAATTTGATACAAATTTTCTTTGTATTAAGTAGCTATTCTTTTTCATATTGATCACAATCTGCCAAAGTCCATAACAGCACCTATGGTATTTATAACTGTGTAGTGTATTGCTGATGTAGTAAGTAATATTCAAGCGAAACATTGAGAAAAAGGAAGATCTGTGTTCTAAATCTCATTAAGATCCTATGCAGAATAAGGCAAGCTGTAAAACTTCCTGCATTGCAGTCAGCATGGACATAACATGACGTAAGGGGGAAAAGTTTTGATCCAACACCGGTGTTTGATATAATATTAGGTTTCCTAAGGAAATAAAATACAAAGTGTTTATGTCTGCTTAATTAAGATACCTCTGTTCTTCTGCTCCACAGCCAACTGTTTTTCAAGCGTTTCCCTCAGTTCTCGTTCCCTGAAGAGCTCCATCTTCAGCTCTGTCTTTTCCAGTTGGACCTGTTTCTCTTGAGCTCTGGCATTGTCTATAGCAACCTTCAGTAGACCCTGTTCAAAGATAAAGTTGGATAATGTTTGAAGAATGTTAGAACAGCTAACATAATAAATAACTTCTGTTATTTTTCCTCGATTTCCTTGATGTGAGATTTACAAATGAAATAATCCTGTTACTGGGTCAAAGCCTCTCAATTATCAACAGTGAAGTTTTACTGGAATTAATTTTAACAGGTGGGCAAAAATCTGTAAGAAGATGGGATTTGAGTTTTCCCAGAAAATGCAAACTCACCTTTGTCTGTGCACATAGCTAATATGAAAAGTTAGAGGGATAGGTTTATTCTTCGTAAGAGATAAAAGAGACAAACCTACATCAGACACTTGTCTGTGACCAAAACAAAAACCTGTCCCACTGAAAAAGAATTGGCTGTCTCACAGTCACATCATCCACAGAACGGCAAATTCAATCTCTAGCACAACTCAAGGGAGAAAGGCTCTTTTAAAGGCTTGCCATTTTGCTCCTTATTGTTGTTAATTATTATTATTTTCAAATATTTTCATATTTCAGGGAGTTTCCAAGGAAGCTAGGGTTATTACGATGCTAAGCAGAGGTCAGTCACAAAGTAGGAAGATACCTCCATTTCAAAAAATACGTTCTCTGACCCTGTACAATTGTTATTTCACACCAGAGAACAGAATGCAATCATCTTGCAATTTCTTAACCTGGGATGGTTGAAACAAACTCTACATTTTTTGTTTTTACTGTATCAGGAAATAATGATTCAACCTATTCTAAACTTCTCTTGAGAATTTTAGCTTCACAATTCCTTCTTTTTTTGCAAAGAAACAGGAAGACCCCAGCACAGCTAATAACAAGATAGTTAGGACACTGATAGGAATGAAAAAGAGGAGGAGAAACAGAATTGAAATAAATGAACATGGGAAGAGGAAATATTTCCTTTTCCATTTTCCAGAAGCCTGGCCATCAGGCTCTTAGGTCTACACCTGAATCTCTCCTCTTGAAGCTATCATAATAGAGTAGATAATTAAGCATGGATATGCATATATGAACCTCCACAGATATGAACCTAACTGTTCTGTATCCTAGGCAAGTCTCCTGACAATTTAACTGTAGAGATAATTTGACCCAACAGAGATTTAACTTCTGGTACAAAGCAAAACAATGTCAACAAGAGAGACTGAAGCGTAGTCCCCAATAGCTCTGCTAGGGAAGCATTCAGCTAACAGATAAAAGGTTCACACTCAAGACCTGTTTTCAGAACCACCACACTACAGACATGAAATCATGTCCCCCAACTCCCAAATAAGCTTCCTCACCTCTCAGGCACACTTCCTAAATTGGATTCTGGGTTGCATGTTTTTTCACTAAAATTTTTGAAATGTCTCCAAAAAGGAATGGAAAAAGAAGCCAGCATGATGATACTTGAGAAATGGCAAAAGTATTTTATACAAATGTTAGTCTGCACATTTATCTCCCTAGTCTTCCCAATGTCAATGCCTGCTTTGAAATTTGTGTCCTTCAAACTCCTCTTTTAAGTCTGTTTTCAGAGCCTGTTATTTTCAGTACTCCTCATCCTCATTCTTAACTAAATTGTTGCCTCAAGCGTTGTCTCATTCAGAGCATACTACTTTACAGCTCTATTACACTTCAATCTATTAAAGTCCATAGCAGCTGAAAGAACTCAACACCTTCCAACTTCAAGGCCCAGATGGTCACCAAAATGATATACACTACATAAGTATAGAACATATGAAAATATCTAACAATGGTAACACAACAAATGTGCTTACAGATATGTTTAAAGTTTTAGCAGTTTTCTTTAAAAGAACCAAATGCTATTCTAAACCAGCTAAAACACAAAGGTATTTTGTGTTGAATGCTAAACCTGAATGACTACTAATGAAAACCACATAAAGCTAAATATAAAGCTCTACAGACATATGCGGAGTAAAATACAATTTGAAATATTTGTAAGGCCTTTCCAGTCTGTTTTTTAAAAAGTTAATATCCACCTGAATTCTGTTCCCTTCCCCTGCCATATTGTCCCACATTTACAACCATCATAAACTATGTTTTCTATGCGGGATGTATTTGAAATAGTGAGAAATTGAAGTAGGTGTTTTTATCAATACCTGCTTCTGGCTTACGCTTAAACTCTAGAATATTTTAATCTCCCATTCATCACTTACTGGGACATGTGTTTCAACCAAATCACTAATAAAGCAGATCGAGTGAAATTACGTGAAAAGTATTTGTTGATGAAAAGTGTATTGTCAAGTAAGTTTAAAGCTGCAAACACCCTCCTCCCAAATTCTTACAATCCGTCTTGTTTAACAACAAAATCGAGCTGCTAAAGCAACTGCCATCTTTACTCAATTCAACTACATTCATGTACATGTTTCTTCTTCATCAGGAACAAACAATTAGTAACAAATGAAAGAGATCATTACATCAAGTGCCCTTTTAGATCACCCCAATTAAAACTTTAGTTTAGCTGTATTTTAATTCTAAGATACCAAATTCTAATTTTCTGCTCTGATTGCTCTTGTTGACTTATCTTTGAAAGATGTACTCTCAGTGCAAAGCCTAGAGATTATTTAGCAAGATGCCAATGTTGGCACCACTTAATGTGTTGATTGGTTGTATTATCAGTAGCAGTTTAAAATAAATTACTATTAAACTATTATTGTCCTTGGCTGAAAAAACACAATATTTTGGTGTTCTTTAAATATGAAACAATCATTATGAATAAACATGGAGAATAATGCTAGAGTGTAACACTGATGTGTGTAATTTTATATTAAGAATTGCTGCAAAGTACGAAGTTGCTAAAAGCATATTACATTTTCTATCGAATTTCTACACCACACTTCCTCCCCCAACCTTTCTTTTTTTTATACTTGCTGCTAACATAGCTAATGGTAATACATTACCTATTGCTGCTGATTATGTCTGAAAAATATTAGCTTTTTGGAGCCAAGACCCACTAGGGACTACTTATAAGCTACACAAAATTAAGTTTCATTTTTAGAAGTTAAATCAGTGCACATCAGTAGGCGTCCAATGTGAAAAAAAATCTGCACTAGAGCCAAACTGATGCATATGCAAAAGTAATGTTGCTGCCAATGACAGCTCTAATGCAAAAATACTGGAAACATTCAATATCTCCCTGTATTCAATGCAGAAGGGGGTGAGAAAAACAACTAAAAAGTACAGCATCTAAAAATCATCAGTGCCCCTTGGAACAGGAATAGCAATTTCAGAGTTGCATGAAATTCTATTAATTCTCCCAGTGGATCAGCTGTAAAAGATTATACAAAATACAGTATGTCCAACTTGTATTTGCTATGGCTAATCCTCTAACCTGATATTAAATCAATATGCTGCCAATGACAATGGGAAATGCAGTGCAACACAGGACATTAACAAAAAGAAAATATTTCCCTTTAGGGAAGGTCAGATGTTATGGAGGCTGGATAATGATAATTGTAGTGAACATGCTCAGGTTCCAGATTTCTTTTTAATACAGTATGTCTCTATCTGGAGCCAGGCTTTAAACATGGCATGCCATTCTTTGCCTCTGTGTTACTGTTAATAATTTTTTTTTATTTCAACGTAATGTCAAAAATGGACATTTTTCCTCTGGAGATTTATAGATCATTCTGATTTGGTTTGTTTACTTTAATGCACTTGTTTTAATAATTTCGACTGATAAATTCTTCAGAAATGCCCCAAATAAGAAGTTAAGCTGATATATGGTTGATGTTTCTTCCCATTCTCCGGTGTATCCAAAACCACCATCATGTAAGGGTAATCTACTGAGCCTATAGTAATTAAACATATATCAAACCTCAGCTTATCCTTAAAGCCAGGATTACCCATCATTATTTTAAAAAAATGCAAATTATGTGTTGCCTATTTTGAAAGGGGTGGAGGGGAATGTATATAGAAGCTCTTTCTCTTTCTAGCTACATCTACAGTGTGTTCCAGCTGACATAATTTAGTTAGCTACACATTTGTATGTGATAACAAAATGGCCTTACTAGCTAGTCCACTAGCCTGTCTAGAAGATCATACCTTGTTTCCAACAATTACCCCCAGTGAGAAAACCAGGAGAACAAGGCATGCACACAGTGAAGCTTTCCTAGGCAAATCTCCCATCTTCCAGAGATTTCTAGCTCAGGGGCTTCCTTTTGCAATATTAGCTATTCATGGTGAAAACTCTTTCAAGTAACATTGGTTCTTTTTCAGACAGGAAATGATATATAATTTCTATGCTTTCATCATTAAAACTATCTATCTAGTGAAAGACTTGCAAAAAAAAATATCAATGTATACATTTTTAGTTAATTTCACTTCCCAGGTTAATTTTTGAATGTTTGCTATTTATAACTGACTACTGAATTAGTAACATAAGCAAGGTAAGATAACACAGCTTGACCATCTCTACAGGTGACTCTAGAAAGATGTTTTTGTAATATCGCAGATTGAGTATCTCCATCGCAGGCAAAGGCATATTGCATATTGCACAAGTATAAATGCCATTTTTCCATTAATACCTTCTGTGAAAAATAAAATCATTCTCTTGAATTTTAGTAGAAGATAAATAAAATAGCATGAAGGAAAACTTTGATTTTTACTTTACCCAGTGTTTGAAGTATTTTTCTCTTGTGTAGTTAGTCATGGATGATAACAGTGCAGGAGACTCACAGCAATAAAGCCAGTAGTTTGCTTTGTTTTCATAAGAGAATTTAGTTTGTAATCATGCATTTATTTTATTAATATCAATGGGATACTTGCAACTTATTTTACATGTCTTTTTAAAAAAACTTAGCACCAATACTGTGTTGATATAATACAGTCTTGATAGAAAAATATAGCTATCGGTGTGCAACTAATTCATCCCTTAGATATTAATGGAAATTCAGCTCAGAGAGATTCAGACTCTAAAAGCTTAGAACACTACTATTACCCAAGAATACTGCAGTATCATGGAAGGCTGTGGCTGTAACATACTTTGGCATAATCAGGCCATGACTCAAAAAGGTGAACTTATGCAAGGGGTATGGAAACATCTTTAGCCTTCTCATTAGCACCCACACAGCATTTTGCTGTGACCCACCTTCCACCACCCTTCATCCTCCTTGCAGTTGCATATAAGACTTCCAGCATTTAATCTGGAAGAAATCAACAAATATACATTGGGAAGGAACAGACATATCAATTAATTTAAGCTCTCTGGAGAAATTTATTTTCTTTTCTTTTTACATGTGCAGATATACATCTGAATAAGCAAACATGTCCCCAATCTTATTTCTTTATTTTATGTGTGTATTTTCTTAATTATATTTTGTTACAGTTTATTATTTGCATTTCAGCAGTCCTCAGCAAGAAATATACATTGGTTGTTCTGGGTACTGTATATTGCTATTTTCTTCTCTTTAAATGTACAAATAAATAAACATTGTATTTTTGTTTCACTAAGTATTTATGGAGAAATAAGAAAAACATATATATGATATACAAAAGGAAATAAAACCAACTAGCAGCCCCTGGTGACAGTGATAGCAAAAAGGCTTGTCTGGCATTTGCCTAAAATTACAAATTAGTGATTAGGGGCTATTCATTTAACTTTAGTATGGATGGAAGACACAGACTTGCTTGTGTTTAGTGGCCAATTTTAAAGAATGACTCAGACTTCTAAAATGGAAGTAAGCAGGGTTAGGCACCAAGTTCCATCACCTAAGCTCTTCAGCACCTGTAAGAATTTTAGCACATTTTGATTTCAAATATCAAAAGTGTTTAGGAATTTTTGCTCACATACCCAAAAGCCCTGTCCTCATGGCAAGGTTTAGGATCCTCCTCACCCTGACAAAGGTCAAAATTAGAACACTTACTGCCCATACAGCACCCTAATTCTGTTCTATTTTAAACCAGGATAGGCTCTACAACCTCTTCTGGAGCCACCCATGGTCTGCATTACACAGATCCTCTGGATCCTGTGCCTCACACAACTGAATATACACAAGGGGATCTGCCATCACGTCCATGAACACTGGTGTAGCCAGAAACTTCTTGCCTATGTATTCACGTGACCATCACATCCCTAAAATCACCACATGTGGCAGGTTGTGCATGCACCCCAGTCCCATGACCTAATGAAGATGTACACTTGCATTTCACAAGCGGACATGTACCCTTTCTTTGAAAGTACACATCTGTATTTCGTCATGCATGACCCTGGGAAAAAAAGAACAGCATTTACCAAAACCACTCATCTAGCCTTTGGCCAGATTTCTGCTATTTTCTGTTTCAAAAGCACCTTAGTGCTGGAGGCAGGGAACGGACTGTAGGCCAGATGATCTTTTCTAGAAAGTTATATCTGCTCCATTGCTAGCATAGCTGCAACAAGAGAAGGGTGAGGGATCCTACTGCTCCGCCTCCCCTTTGAACCCACACCTGTGTACTGAAAGGAATGCAAAATTCATCTGGACCAAAGCAGAGCAAAGAGGAATTTACCCAGTGACAAGAGTCCTTCTGACTCATGTACTAAATGTATCATGGGTTTCAGGTAGCGGTTATGCATTTCTTAGCAAAGTCATAAATGCTTTTGCAAAGAGGGACCATAGTACTGAATTTCTTCTTTCCACAAATCCCATTAACAAGTTTGAACTTGTAGGCAAATACCTGAAACTCAGTTTTGAAAGTGTCGGTCATTATCTTAATTCATTTGTGGGCCTGGGGTAGTCCCCTCTCATTGCAATAATTGCTAAATATGGAAACCATTTAAAATGGCATTGATTAGAGAAACTGCCACTATTGTGCATACATTATTGTAACAGACTCTACTGTTTTAAAGAAAATACTTTTTTAAAAAAAAAAAAATTATTAAGTAATTTTCTGATGTATTTAACTATGTAATGTGACATGGGGACATACTTAAAAAATCCAAAAGGACTTATGTCCCACCTGTTTACCCTGATAGATAATTTGTCGTGATGTGGAACCTCAAAGTAAGGAGCAGTAAGTACAAAAGCACAGTGAGGGAAGGCATGAAGAGGTCTCTGGTTTCTCTACAATGTTGCCTTTAATTTTAGCTCTTTACCCCAGATAAGTTTAGGCGGGGGTTATTTAAAAAAAACAAAACCAATAAATAAAAAACGAGCCAAATAAAAAGCAATGACTGAATTTCACATTCATATTTGCTGTAAAACAAAACTGAATGCATTCTTGGCAAATTAATCCTGGTCATTTATCCTGAAGTAGTGCAGCACTAATATTCAATCACAAGATTAGCTAACCTGTTGATGCTGAATGCTTTGCTCATTAGGTTGCTGTCTAGAGACATTGAGTGCACACATTTGTCAAAAAAATTACTAAGAACTTTCCTGTACATGCATGCACAGCTAAAACATTACATACTTTGCTAACTGTATGCTTTCTTTTAGAAAAAAATGCATTCTTTCCAGCAGATCTGCTAGAAGAATGCGAACTGTTGCAGAATTACCTTGGTTTATGATTTAAATATTTAAGATCCTAAGTCTCAGAACCACAAAAAGCAATCACAAATATGCTCTTTCAGACCAGGCAGGTACAGCAGTACTTAATTGTTAAATAGCAGTATTTTTTCATTATTAGATCTCAAAATGTCACCAATGAATGGATCGTATACTTTTCATAAAATGGGTCTGAAGTGCCATAAATTTTAATAAGATTGCTTAAGAAAGTAAAGTGAGCAGGATTTGGATCTACTCTGTCATAGCCTTTGCTGAACAGAATGTTATGTATTTGCAGGAATGAGCAGGGAAAAATATCGTGACAAATATATTTGAAGCTCGTAGTTGCACAGACAAGGCTTATCTGGAATGAGTACAATATGGCTGCAATATTTCCTGTACTATCATTTTGCTTCTGCATGCAACATACAACCATATTGTTGCAAAAGTTGCATCTGGGGAACACATGATCACTGAATTTGTGGACAAAAAAATTCTTCACTCTAATATGAAACACTAATATCTTGGCTCCAAGCTGCATGCTAGTGTATACCTTAAATAATATTTGAATCAGGCTGTACTGTACACACAATAGACATCATGACTACCGAATAGGAAATCTGCAGAAAATTTAGTAATACCCTTTGAAGTCTATTCTTTGAAGACAGTTCTTTAAGTGAAATGAGCTTATTTATAAAATAAGTGCTTTTTGTGAATGCTTTTATGGGAGACACATTTCAAATAGCTTTAAATATAATTTCCACCTTGGCACTCCAGCAATTTAAAATAGCTATTTATTAAAGAAATGTTTCTCTGCTTAGTAAATGAGATAAAGTTAAACAGTAAGATGCATTTCATTAGCCTGTAATAAAAAGAGCATTTAAGACAAATGTTGTTAAAAACACCAATGTAATTTTCATCAAATTCTCTGCTGTGGTTTAATATACAATCTGTATTTTTATGTACTGTATCTGACAGCTTCTAAATTCATTTGTTTGCTGTGGTTCCTTTAAAACCTAAATTACTAGAAAGTTTCAGTAAATTAGTTGATCCAAATAATCTTATGAACTAATTAAGCTAGAATGGTTGTATTAATTTAGACAAATCTGCAACTGGCTCCTCTCCATCCCTTTAAGCTGGTCTACAGAAAGGCCTACCTGGATGTTAGTCAGAAGGGTCTCTATGGAGGACAATCCATCAGGAAATAGAAAAGGAGATGGAAAACCCGGAGGTAGTGGTTGCCCATGCCCAGTTAGAGAAAGTTTGTCAAGGCTGTCTCTTGCGGTTGGTGTGGAGAGCGGGGTCTCATCTGTATGTGATTGAAACAAAAATATAGAACAAGTTACGCTTGTCTGTTTTTATTAGACCTCAGTAATGGCTTCCCTAGTGGTTTCCAGAACATTTATTGCAAATTGGTTCCTGCTATCAGGAGAAAATGCTTTCTGCTGAATTTTCTTTAATGAAAAAGCTGTGGAGATACAACAAGATAACATTAATGAGTAACTTTATAAGCCTTTTAAATGCAGTCTCTAATGAGACTGAGTTTACAGTGCCATAGAATCTTTTTAAAACAAATATTATCTCACATATACTTGTGATAATATATTCAGGCTGACTTTATGGGCACCTTCCCAATTATCTCATTTTAGTTTGTGTTCTATTTGGATTGACAATAGAATATTTTCTGGCATGACATATATTTTGTATATGAGAAGTATTTGAATACAAGGCTTCCCATACAATTAACCCTTCCCACTCTTAATGGTTTCACTTACAGCTCAGAAGATTCTGCAACACCAAGAAAAACTACAGCTCCTCAATGCATTTTTAATCAAGAATGTACACCTGATTCCCACTATTGAAACATGCTCTGAACAATACATGAAATTAACAGCGTGGTTACAATCACTGGCCTAATTTTTTTAAGCACGGACATCTTCTAACAAGTAGTGCTAAACTCCTTAGTGGGATCTTTGTAACAATCAGATCTGATCATTTCTGACATCACAATGGGAAAAACTCCCACAGCTTGAGGACGTCTAAGATTAAAGCTTCACAGATAATCTGTGAATGGATTATAAACTAAATACAAAAAAAACCCCCAAAATCCAAAACACCCAACCCCACAATTAACAGAATCTTCAATACCCGCCCCCCCCCTTTTTTTTCTTTTTTACTTTTTGGAATATTTTTAGAATACTGTTGATATGATACAGAAATTTAGGTCAATTTCTTTGCACCAGATGCTAATCTGAATTCTTCAAAAGGAAAACTATCTATACATATATATAGATATATATATCTACACACACCCTTCTTACCAAGGGCTCAGTCACTAACTGACACATATTGATCTATCTCAACACAGTACAATGACATCAGAACACACTCTTGGTATAATGCAGATTTCTGCACAGCTATTTGACTACAGAAGATTTTGTCAGACTTGCTCTTTTCCATTTGGGCTTTGATCATTGTAAGACATATATGTTTGGGGGTATTTTAATTTCTCTTTCTTTCTGCACTTTATTTAACTACAGTTTCAATAAATAGTTACACTTCTCTAGTTATCCTATCATGTACCTCAGGAATTGTATTATATGAAAGTTCTGATCCTAGTTGCCTAAAAAAAGCTCTCTCTTTGATTGGGGTGCAGTATTTTCTCAAGTAGACATAGTCTAGGACCAGGAAAACTGAAATCTGCAGCAATAAAGGATTGGAGTATAGGTTTTGATGACCCCAGGACCAGAAAACCATAACTCTGAGTCCCAGTTCATCTATCCACCACTACTCCAGAAGGAACCAATCTCCATCAACCATGTTCAGGTGCGGTTTTCTTGCCCCATCTCCTCACCAGCTCTGTCATGTTGCCAGTATTTACAGTGCTAGAGTAAAAGCCTCACCCACTATGTCCCTCCACAGACACACCCAAACAGGCATTTGGACATCTGCTGGTTCCACTTAGCTCTTCTTCTTCTCTCTTAGAGAAGCAGACATCAGTTTTAGACATCACTAATCTGTCTGAAATATCACAGGCATTGACTGCAGGAGGAGGCATATCTTCCTCTAGAAGTGCCTGTTGACTGTACGAGAAGCCTAAGCTACCTAGCTCAGATGGAAAGATCTACTTTTGGTGAGATGAGTCTTATCATGGAAACAGCTCTTCTTACTTCATTCTGGTTCAGGCTGAGAGTAGCCTACACAAACACTAAGACCCTGTTTCATGTCACCTATTTCTCACAATTACTGCTTTCTCATAAAGTCAACATTCAAAAGCTTGCCAAGGTAAGCTTAGTGAAATGAATTGATGTTGACCAAGAAAAGCTTCAGCCCATTCAGTCACAAAAGATTTTTTTCAGATGTATTTAAATTTTCCATTCAGGTCACAAAGTGCTGAGAAAAACTGGCTGTAGATTCCTGAACTATTTCCTATCTACCTTACCGAGATTCAAAGCAGGCTCTGAAAAACGTACTCTGTGGATGTACCCCTCAGCAACATGGATATCTCCGTAGTCATTTTGTATTAACATACTAAATTTGGCCCTAAATCTGAACTTTTTCTTTTCTTCCCAACTTTTAAAATATTATATAAATATTCACCACTTCATTAGAAAAAATAAATTAGGTATTCCTGGATATTACAAACTAGTTTATTGTTCTCAGATCATCCTGCTAGTTCATCTTCTCAAATCCTAGTCTAGTGTGAAAAATCATTACCAAATGTTTTTTTCCAAACTGCTGTCAGAATTGTTATGCTTTCATTAATCAAAAGAAACAACCCAAACCTTAAACAAAACTGGTTAGACAACAGATTGATAAACACCACACAACATTATTGCACAGCTGAAAACTTTTTTTCATTTGCTGCAAATATGGCTTTCCCAAATGATTCCTACCCAACATTAAAAAAAACAAAAAATCACAAAACATCTTCTTTGTTATGTCACTGAGTTTTTGGCTAAAGGCTACTTTAGATCAGTGGTTTCAGTGAAAGTATTGGACTTGCATGGTATAGCAAGGAAGTCTAATCACTAGTATACGTGGTGGAGCTGATTCATATAAATGAAATAAACTAAAAAAGGGACATCATCTGCCTCTAGGTTTGTCAGAGAAATGGACTAATAACCTCTCATCCTTTCTAAGGCAACTTAGAATCGTACTAATATTTTAGGTCTCAAATTGTCAAAATATTTTAAAACACACTAGATAAAATTGACCCACTTAAAAATTCCACAGGCCTTAATTCACTTAAAAACTATGCTCTTCCATGCAATTGTTGAGGTCTAGAAAGCTCCTAACACAGGTCTTGTCATAGAAGCAAGGGATTAATTTTTTTTACTCTATTACTACTTTAAAGTTAAATATATCTTAAATTTGCTGTACTTTGTGCATGCTCAAAACATGTTGTGCATTTGCAAAGATTTTCCTAACAATGTGTGGCATGGTTTTGCAATAGGCAAAGTAAATCAAAAAAGGTTAAAGTTATACAGAATGGTATGAACTCAAAATAATATCCAAACTCTTACGTTATAATAAATAACAGAAACAAATTTACACTGAAGGGTAAGACTAGAAAGCTGAACTTACTATGAACTTACTTTAATGAAACATCGACTCAGGAAAAAAAGTCAGACTAATGTGACTTTGTTTTCTTGATGTCCCATGTGAAATAAACTTTGAGTGTGAGTATGTTTGAAACAGAGCAAATGTACATATTATACACAGGAAGCATGGATGTTTGTGGATGTGAGATAAGCAATGATTGAGGGAATCTTGAAAAAATGCATTTTTAAGAAAAACCACATTGTAAACACAGCCAATTAAAACATACCACATATCTTAGTAGCAAAATAATATGACCTCTTGTAATTAAGGCATTTTAAAATCTTCCATTCCTGTAGAAGTCTCTTTTCTCAATGCAATGATATATCTTTGTTTCTAAATAATCATTAGCCTAACATCTTTTAAACTGCTGCAGAAGAAGTATGAACATTCCTCTTAACCTACTAGCAGAGCAACGCTGCAAAAATGATGAGTCCTTGCTGGGAGACAGAGATCTGGAATTTTCAGTCTGAACGCATCAAAGGAAGCATTCGAAGACAAGCCGGGGCAAAAGGGGGAAGAGGGTCAACCTACAATTCCATTGTCAGAGTTGGGAGCACAACAGTGTAAAGAAAAGGGGAAAAAAGGAAACAACAAGGCAGAACAAAGAAGTGTCCAGGCCTGCCTTGGCTTGTGCTGGGAACTGAGATGTTATAAATTAACAAATAAACAAGGATAAGACAAGCTGTTACCCAAGCCTCTACAGCATGTGAGCAGAGATGAATATGTGCCTTGACATACGAACTAAATCACCATAAAAGGCAAGTCTCAATGGGACACATATCTTTAAAATATTTTTAAATGCTATATCCACTCCATCCATTGTTACTGAATTTCCAAAATTCACCTGTTTTTGTTCAAAACAGATTTTATCTGAGAACAGCAGCTGGTTTGGGCCAAATACAACGAACATTTTTCACTGTATTTGGTTTGTTGCCATTCTATTTTATTCTTTCACCAGATAACATGGAAACAGACATCCTGGAAGATGTGACAGCTATTTAAACAATAATAGATGGATAGAGGTAGCCATTCTCTTGTCTTTGTTCCTACAAGCAAGTAGGATAAGTTCAGACCAGCCACCAATCAAACTGGAGAATATTGATATTGCCAGGATTTGAAAGCAAGTGATAATAGCTGGCTCCAAAAATACTTTACAGATTACTGCCTTTCTGTAATCATTTAATGGTTTTTTGTAATGCATCTTGATGCTTTTTTGTTCTCTGTAAAATATTTCACATGTATTTGTTGCTAAAACAGGCTCATTCTTACCATTTGAATGATGAAAGAAGATCCTATTTTCACTTTTTACTATCATAAATCTGGTGTATACATTTTCGTGGGAAACAATCTATTCCATTTTCCTTAACATGATTTTGGTTTATGTTGTCAAACACCCTTTAGTACAAAGTTTTGTATTTCACCTTCCTCAAAGTTGGAGGTTTCAGGTGTGAGAAGCTCTTCTATTTTAATTCATGTATAATTGATTTATATTAACACAAAAGAATAGGGGCTCCCATGTGCTGAACTGAAATGTTTACCAATTCATGCAGATTTAAAGAAAAAATGAAGTAAAATCCTCTTGCTCAATACCCAAATACTCTGAGATTAAAACAGTTGCAACTGTGGCAGCTGGAAATAAGGGCAGAATATCAAAGATACAGACTGACTAACTGGTTGTTGTTTCTGTAACATTTCAAAGAGGCT